AAAAGATAAACTTATGCCTTTTGCAGTAACATGGATGGAGCTGGCAGGGATCATGCTAAGTGAAATAAGCCAGAAAAATACCAGATGGTTTTGCTCATAGCCAGAGTGTAAGAGATCAGAAAAAATAGGATTAAAAACCAGTTAGATCAAGATGTTTTCTTACTCCAGAATCTACCCCTGAAACCTTTATGATCACTGTATTTCAGCTTGGTTTTTAAGACGTTCTGTGGCTGGAACTCCTCTTCTCACCCTTCTGTCATGGCCTAACCTTTTCATTGACTTGTGTTTGCATTACCTGTCTCATTTATAACAGGCTATCTTATTTATTTTACACCCGGTTTGTTGTCCTTTGTCCTTGCTATTTCCTTCCTAGAAATTCAGAAACCATCACATACTTGTAAAGAAGCGCTTTCTAGAAAGAAATCCCACCTTTGTCATCCTTGCATTTGCCTTGTGTGACCTGGTCCCAAGCAGAGCAGACCAGAGTGAATGGAATCTGATCCAAGTGAATGAACATAGATTTCAACCCAGAATTTCACAGGAAGAACAAGCTCTCTGACAAGTGTAATTTGTGCAAGAAAAATGTCCTTTAATTTCCAAATTTGATTTTAATTTAGATGATAGAAAATAGGCTTTGATAAGAATCATAAAAGTGATTATTTCCCAGAGAAGTTAACTAAGTCTTAGGAGGTTGAGGCAAAGGTGTTTTGGAAAGATAAAAAAAAAAAGTTTTAAAAAAATTCCCTCTATTTGCTCTCTAAAATCACTTCATGTTACTTTCATGTTACTATGGTTATCTCATAGTTTATGAAGTACCCTATGAACATTTTGTTATTTTGTTCTCATCCCTACCTGGTGAGGTAGATGCCATTATTCCAAATTACAAATGAGAAAAATGGGGTGCAGAGAATTATCTTTTCTGTCAAACATATCTATTTTATGTGCTATGTGAGAGCTATATGAAGCATGTGAGGGGTATACCCCTCTCTCCTGTGGGTATGTATAGCTGTAAAATGAGATTAATTGAACAGTATTTCAACTACTGTGGGACTTGAGAACTTATTTTTCAAGCAGTTCTACTTAAACTTTTGTTGGGTTAGCTTTTGAATGAGGAAAATGAGGGAGATCTAATCTCGTTCCGATGTGACATTCTGAAACCATGTACTTTTTTCCTAAGGAGAAATGCCCTCCAGCATATACTATCTGTCCTCCTCAGTTCCCTAACACATATAACTAGTAAACTAGTAATCTACCCAATTTAAAAATGAATACAGTATGGTAACCAAGCCTTTGTGAGAAAGAATACATCACAGTTGACAAAAGGACAATTATTTTTAAATACATAATACATTACAAAATATATTTATAATTAGTCTGTTGAGTCTCTTTGTTCATAGTAAGTGTGCTTCAGAATAAGTTAATGTATCATTGACTAATTAATATATTAAGGTTAATAATGAAGCAATGATAAGCTTGATACCAGCTTTTGATTCTCAGTACCAGCTAAGACTAATGGGCAGGCCAGTGTCTTACTTTTAAGTACGTTTTGGGAAAGTGCAGCTGCATGAACCTAGTCAGGGCCTCCATGCTCACTTTGGTATTCTTCACATGAACCTTGACAGTAAACCCTCGTCCAAACCTGGAAAGAAAAAGTGCAAAATATGAGCTGAGTTACATTTTGCTGAAATAGCTCCCTTGAAATTCCAGATAATGAAACAGGCCCCAAGCCGATCACTACAGTCCCTTTTCTTATATAAAGACTCTCATCTTGCCATAAAAGTTCAGAGTATGTTGCAAAAACTGGAAATAGTGAATTGCTGTTACTTTTAATTTATTTGTGCTACGATTTTTAACTTATTTCTGCTATTATATGAATTTGAACTCTTGGAAAAAAGCTATGTGAGAACATGAAAAAAATCTTGGCTTTCCTTGACACCAGGAATTGGCAATTGATGTCAAATTCTGGAATTAAACATTTTCTAATTTAGAGCAAACAAGTTCCTGAGAGACAAATTATTAGAGATTTGGTGTTAATAGTAAAAGTTAAAGCCAGTAACAAAATTTTAAAAATGTATCAGTATACCAATGAAATGCACCAAAAAATAGTTTATAAACAAGTCACAACATACCAAGTCCTTTCACCATTTTTTAGCTCTCAGTTAATACTCTTTTATAAGGAAACCGAGTCAGTGTACAGGTAAAGGGATATATGTAGCATCCTGAAGCTTAAAGATTACCATAAGCATTCTGGTAAATATAAAATATTCATTGTAATTTGATGGTATGATATTTATGCATATATCCCCAATGTGTTATTTAGTCAAAGGTTTTGAATGTGGTAAAAATGCTAAATAGTTCACTGAAAGCCTGTACAATTGGCTGGCAAACATGCCTGATCTGAATCTATGCCTTCACGTACTTGTCGAGGCCTGATTTGATTGCGTGAACTCTTGAAAGTGCTTCCTTTGTATTTTCACTGGATTACATTTTTGTAAAAGCTTTGAGGACCTCTAGATTTTTAAACTAAAAATATATTCAATCTTCAGTAAGATAGTTTAACACTCATTGAGTTGAGTCAATGATTATCTTCTTCATTCCAATTGTACTACTTTTCATTGCCAAGATAATTCCAGTAGGCAAGTGCAGTACTATTCAATGGACTATCCTACACCACCACATATTAACAATGCATTTGCTCTTCACCTGCTTTTTATATGCTGCAAAGACCCAATGCATTGGAATCGTCCATTCACCATAATGGCCAGCCTGGTACAGAGCGCTTCACATTCTTCCATGCTGAAAGAAAAAATCACAGCGATGTGGACACAGAAAACCTAAATGTGGGTTTAAGCTCAGAAGGGTAAGCTGAACTGTTTGATGATGGCAAGTATTGGAAGTATTGTTTTAATTCCTTAAGATGTCTTTTCTCTTCAAGAATGAAAAAAAAAAACTTTAAAAATATAAATGAAGCCTCTTCATTTAGGGTTTATTACTGTTTTTTCATTCTTGGAGTGAGGCTTTCTCTTGCACCTAGAACACCTTTTCTAGTAAACATATTATTGTTTTCATGCTTTTTCAATCTCTGACTTAAGGACTATATTTCCTAAGGAATTTCTCCAAAATGATACTGGTTTTTATTCTTTATGCCTCGTACTTTAAATTCAGGTTTTCATGTTTTTAAATTTCTAAGTGCTCAACCTGTGCTCTTGTTTCATGAAGTATGACAACTGGAGAAGTTTCTAGGTAGCCCCCAGCCACTTTAATACAAACATGAGTGGGAAATAAATGATCGGCTCTAGAAGTGAGGCTAGCCACATGTGTCTGGGTTAGCTACCAGCACAACTCTAGTACTTTTTGTAAAACATGACAATTCAATGAAAGGACCAACTTAACACAAGACCGACCTTGTAAAAAAGGCACAGGTAAAAAGCTCACAGTTTTTTATTTACTTAACTGATTAGAAGATGCCTCCTCATGGAGGGTGAGCTGTGTTTTAACTGACTAGAAGGGTGAGCTGTGAGCTGACTCTGAAGAGTACTGGTGAGATCAGGCTTTGGATAGTTTTGTGAAAACAAAAGTTGGGTAGAAAACACAGCAAAGACAGTGGAGTGAGTGTCAGTGGCATGTGTCATTCAGATTGACTGAGAGGAGAAGGTGTCATTGAAAAGAAAGATGGAAACGTCGATAGTAAAAAGCCTTGCCCACTAGTTACACCAAGAATGCTGAACCTTAGCGAGGTGCAGGAGAGATGAAATTTAAGTGGGACTAGATCTGGCCTGTGGGATTTGACTTCACATAGGTAATGGGAACTCATGGCTGACTTAAAAGGGCCACAAGGCAGGAGAAATGGGTTTTAAAAAATAATGTGGGTCCTTTGCTACCACAGGAGCTGGATGCTCACCATGAAATCTGCCCATACTACTCCTACGACCATAAACATAAATATTTTCACCCACTTGTGGGCATTCATTATCAACTGGTATGCAGGGGACCAGCCTTTCCCACCTGTCGCCGTATGGTGGGGTCATGTGACTCCCGAGGTTCCACACTTGGCCTACCTGTGAGAGGTGAGGATGACGGAACATTTGTTCTGTACTTCTTCCGAGATGATCTTCCAGAGGTGCCGTTTTGATTTAGGATCCATCCCAGAGCTTGGCTCATCCTTAATAGAGAGTTACAAGAAAAATGTATCAAATTCATTAAATTTTGATGAGGTTCTTTACATGAATCGCTGTGTCTCACTTGCTTCCAACAGAAATCATTTGTGAAGTTCTGTGACTAACTTGTTTTATACTTAATAGGCTTCTTTCTGCTGCTGTCAGATAGCTCAAAATTAATCATTTAAAATTGTCAATCTGTTTAAAAAAGTGTCTCAGTGAAGTTGATACTCTTACTTTACACTTGTCTCATATATCTTTGGGAAAAAAATCCTGCTTCAATTACTGACAAAGCAGAGTTTTGCATTTAATATAACATTGTCACATATATATTTGAAGCCAAAGCAACAAGATTGCTACCTTGCTCCTGAAAGCAGAATTGTGACTGTGAGTGATAATATGCTTCTGAAGCAGGGAAAACACAATTTAGTTTTTCAGTTAATTTGTTTAAAAAGTCTTTTTTAGGTTGATGTCATTAATTGAAATTTAATAGTCCTTGGGGAAATAAAAATAAGATTTGCTGAAATTGCCAAGTAAAAGATGTAAATTATATTTTAAAGTAAATGATGTTTTGAAAAAATTGTTCAGACAGAAAATTAAAAATATAGCAATAAATATCTAAACAAGCTCCCACCAGATGATTCTGAAAACAAATTATAGATAGAGATTAGGTAAAAATTAATATATATGGGCCCTCCCTGGTGGCACAGCGGGTTAAAGCACTGCACTAAGATGATGAAACCACTTCCGCATGAGTTCGATTCCCGCCTGCCCCGGAGGTGACCACATGGCGTGGCAGACCTCTCCTGACCCGCCCGCTGCTCCCCTCAGCAGTGTACTTCGTCGATCTGCCTGTTCTGCTCCCCGCTCTGTCTCTGGCGAAGTCTTTCGCCACCCCTGAGTCTCTGGCCTGTACCCCAGTTCTGTATGCACAAATAAATAAATCTTTAAAAAAAAATTAATATATATAATATATATATATATTTAGGAATATCTATCTACATATCTATACACACACACATATAAAATACTTATATTCCCAGCAATGGATTCTTATATATAATGTATATGCACATATGTATGTATAATATACATGTATATACAGGGATATAATGCATTATAAATCTTTGGTAGTATAAAAAGATGGGTTATGTTTCACTCCATCTAGATAGCTTCAATGACTTGATCTTTGTATGATTTAATTCCTGGAATAATGTTATGATTTATAATATTTATATTTTTAATGCATATTGGTAAGGCTCTTGCAGAGTTTGGAAGGGGATGTTTTCAAAAGGCTTGTTTCTGTGAAATAAATAAATGATAAATGCTAACCTTTTTTTTTTTGGTGTGCAGAACAGAATGCTATGTCACCATTACAGGCAATATATACTTCTGGGTAATCAATTTAATTTTCTAGCTGCAAACCAACACTTATGTGTGTACATAATGCATTTCTTGCTTCTAAAAGTTTAGATAAAATAGCAGGGCATATTGTCAATCATATTCCAAGCTGGTAACTCATATTTCTAAATAACTAGGAGATAAAATATTCATATAATACTTTGTCTTAAAATGTGTCTTCCCTCCTTAGTACAAGACGAAAAAATATGTTAGCTCACCAAATCAATTACTAATAAAGCTGTTTTTTTCAATAACGGGGCATTGAATTCTACCATGTCCATAATTTTATTTAATCAAATAGCCTGCATTTGTTTCAACTACTTCCATTCCCTTGACAACTGTTTCTTTTGAAACTGACAAACATTGATAATCCTTGGGGAAATACAAATAAGATTTACTGAAATAGTCAAGTGAAAATATGTAAATTATATTTTAAAGTAAATGATGTTTTGAAAAAAAATATATAAATTCCAGACTTCAACTACTATACTTCAAAGCTATTGTACCAAAGCAGTGTGGTATTGGGGTCAAAACAGACATATAGACCTATAATGGAATAGAAATGAAAACCTGGAAATAAATCCACACCTTCATGGACAATTAATCTACAACAAAGGAGTCAAGTGTATACAATGGAAATTTTCTTTCATCAAATAGTGTTGGGAAAACTGGGCTACTGCCAAAAGGATGAAACTATCATTTCATCTGATTTTAAATAAGATATCATTTAACTCAGACTATCATTTCACACTATATACAAAAATTAACTCAAAATGGATTAAGGGCTTGGATGTAAGACCTGAAACCATAAAATACATAGGCAAACACTCCATAATAATTGGCTTCATTGATGTCTTTGTGCATTCATCTCCAACAGCAAAATAAACAAAAAAAGAATATAAACACATGGGACTACATCAAACTTCGGAGCTTCTGCACAGGGAAAGGTATGCCATTAAAAGTGCCATTAAACAAAAGCACACCCTACTGAGTGGGAGAAAATATTTGCATACCATACATCTTCCAAGGAACTAAGATCTACAAAGAACTCATGTAACTCAACTAACACAATCCAAAAATGAACAGAAGTACTAACTAAGCAATCTTCCAAGGAAGACATATAGATAGCCAACAAATACATGAAATGAATGCCATTATGATTTATCCATAGGGAAATGCAAATCAAAACCATAATGGGATACAACCTCTCTTGTGAGAATGGCCCACAGAAAAAGGTCTAAAAAGAACAAGTGTTGATGAGAACATATATAGAGAGGAAACTTCCTATGTTGTATTCCCACCAGTGAATATAAACTAGTCTAACGCCTATGGAAAACAATATGGAGATTTTGTAAAATATTAAAATAGATGTATCATAGGATCCAGGAACTTACTCCTAGAAATTTACTCAAAATTGAACAGTAATTTGAAGGGATATAGGCACTCTTTGTTCAATGTAGCACTATGTATGATAGGCAAATTATGGACTTAAACTAAATGCTCAAGGATAGATGAATGATTTAAGAAGATATGTATATAGACAAAGTGGTATATATAAACAATGGAATACTACTCAGCTATAAAAAGATGAACCTTTACCATTTGAGACAATATGGATGGCACTAGATAGTATCATGCTAAGTGAAAAAAGTCAGAAGGAAAAATGCAAATACCAGATGGTTTCACTTATATGTGGAATGTAGAGAAAAAAGCAAAAGGGTCAGACAAATCTAAACAATAACAAACCCTAGAAATCTGACTGTAGATTGGAGATACCAGAGGGGAAAGGAAGGGTAGAAAGCAGAGTGTTGAATGTGCCTAATGGGCTCCAATAGAGGTCTATCTGTATCTCTATTCATAGAGGTAGATCACATCTGTAGGGGATCTTGTACCTCTAAATCATATATACAGTGTTGTAATCCAACATTATTTCAGTTAAAAACAGAGTGTTTTGAAAAATAGCCAGCATGTAGTGAGACCCTAAATAATGTTAGGTAATAAAAGGCTATGTGGTTACTGTTATGTAGTAGCCTTTTTGGTAATTATTCTCTTACCAGCAATAGAATGGAAGGTTTTCCTATCAAGGCCAGTGCAGTGGATAATTTTCTTTTTGTGCCATAACTGCACATAGAGGTGGCTCTGTCCTTGTAGGGCATCAGGTGAAGTCTCCTAAGGAGCTTATAAACAGTCTGTGGACATACAAGCAAAGTTAGGTTGATATTTTTCTGACAAGACTCTTAAAAAAATACATAGAAGAGAAGCTGTCTGTGAAAAGAAAATTTTATAATGAAAAAGTACATACCTGAAAGACACTCAAACATTTAAATTCAACATAGCTTTTGTTTTTATTTTCAATATCCACTTAAAATTAATAATCATTTAAAGAGATAAAAGCAGTTCTGTGGTGGCTCATTTCAAATGGGATTTGACCCACACCCACACCAGGGGTGTGTGTGTGTATGCGCTTGCCTGTAACTACAAGTTGTTCTTGCTGCTGCATTAAAACAGACTTTCCCTGTAAAGTTTAAAAGAGCTAAAAAAGAATTCAACCTTTCACAAGGCAACTTTTTCATTGATTGTCGTCACTGTTTCATCTTTCTTCTTACTGAAAGGTGAGTTATCACATAAAGACTTTATTTAAAGCTGACCTAGGTCAAAATTTTTGCGTATTAACTTTGGAGTCATGGGTTCTTTTGGCTATTTCTGTATTTAAACAGTCCTGACAAATAGTGGATCCTGGGATGATTTCAACAGGTCTCCAGCTTTGCAAAAATAGAAACTGTCCCAATGGTTTGTCATTCCACTAAAAAGGCAACCAGTTTCAGTGAAGTACAAACTCACATTTGTAAATCCAAATGGAAGTGATCTGATCTTATCTGGCTATTTTTGCAGGTAATTCTATGTTTCAATACTTACCTGACACAAAAGGATGTAAAGAAATCACCAATCTAAAGGAGTTAATAGTCTGCTGGCTAATTGCTCAACCCAGAACCTAAGGTAGGTGTGATCTGGTGGCTGTTAAAAGCTAATTAAACAAACAGAGGCCTAGAAACTACTAAAACTGGATTTATATGTGTGTATGTAATACACACAATCAGTTATGACTGTTCCATTATCATTACCAGGAGAAAAATGTCTGAGTTTTCCAAATGTCAAGTTGACCTTGATGGTGGGAAGGTGAGAAACAGATACAATCCTGACTTTCAAAGGAAATAATTTTCATACTTATACTCACTTCTTTAATATCTTTTTCTGGAATTCCATGCACCCTGGCATAGAAATACATATGTTCTTCTACTGTGACCAGGTCATCTAAGGCATCTTCTTGTGGGCAGTAGCCTACCAAGGAGCTGTGAGAGTGAACATGACCCAGAGATCTGAATAAAGAGAATTAAAAACATGGATGAGTTTCAAAAGATGGCTTTTGAAAGACATCTAATCCACACATATTGAGAAGGTAGTTCTATTTTGGTCACAGTGATTGGTGATTGTGATAGAGAGGTAATTTTTAGTGACCCTTAAAGATTTAAAAATTTCTACTTGCTTGAATGGCTGTTTTTTTTCCCCAAGGATTTAAGAATATAACCATGAATAAGATAAAAAATTCATTTTTATATATTCTCATTCAGTGTTGTTGTGCTTGGTAAACTGAGGCAATATTTTTTCATACCCAGTCTTATTTCTGATCAGAATGTTTCCACTTGAAGGAATGACATCACCAGTCAGCATCTTGAAGATGGTGGTCTTACCCGCTCCATTCACCCCAAGAAGCCCAAAGCACTGGTTTGGGAGAGGAGAAAAGGTATAGATCTGTTAATAATCATGTGACTATCATGTCTCTTTCCTCTTCTCCCTGGGTGAAGTAAATTTTTACCAAGAAAAATAAATCACTAGTATTATTAATAGGTATTGTAATGTTTGGGTCCACCCTGGTGGCTCATGGAGTTAAAATGCAGCACCACAAAGCTAGCAGCTGCCACTTCAGCACAAGATCTCTCCCCGGCCAGGGAGGTGACCCAGATGGCACAGAAGACTTCTCCTGACCCACCTGCTGGTCCTCTCAGCAGTGTACTTCATCATTCTGCCTGTTCTGCTCCCCACTCTGACTCTGTCTCTGGTGAATCCTCTTACTGCCCCTGCACCTCTGGCCTGTACCCTAGTTCTGTATGCATAAATAAATAAATCTTTTAAAAAACAGGTATTATAATGTTCTATTGGTATTTGACAAAAATTTATCTTTAAAACAAGAGGGTACTCACATGTCTTTTTTTCCTTAACCATCTGAACATTTGTGTTTATACATATTTATTTTACATACTATATTACAGCACATCTCTATGACATGATAAAATGCCCCCCAGTTAGATGTGCTAACCTGACAATGTAATTATATTTATAGATTTCACACAAACTCACAACTTAACCAAATAAGCTACTGAAACAATAATTTCTTTATGCTGTTGAATAAATTTGATGCATTTAGTCTGCAGCTGTGCTTGGAAAGCTAAGGGAAACGCCCCATTTCCTTCTTCCAAAGCTGTTTTAATATTGCTTCCAGGAGAATGGCAGGAACACAAATGGCTGCAGTTCCAGGACCTCAATTCTGACAACTGATTTTTCTGTGCTGTCTTTTAAAGAAGCTGGAAAGGACGTTTCCACTCCGCACAGACTTTTTTCTAAAACTTCCCTCCAGGGTGGACAGTAGCTTGGGAAGGGGCTGAGTATTTTGCTAAATCCTCCAAGAGACATAGTCCTTATAGGGTAAGTAGCACATGGACACTTGTAAATATTATATAGTGATTCAAGATAGTCAGAGGTTGACTTTCATATTTCTAGAAATAAGTAAGGAGAAAGATTTTTGTCATTTTATCATGTCAATACAAAGGACAATTAGAAGAAAACATTGTCCCTTACCTCCCCAGCTGGTATCCCAATGCTGATATTGTTTACAGCTATAATCTTTTTGTGGATCAGCTGGTAGGTCTTTGTGAGACGATGAAGTTGGACCAGGTCAAATTCATCTGCACCATTCTCTACTCGTAACCTCTCAGCTCTCACGTCTTCGTCTTCATCTATAGTCTCCATGACAGGTGAGGAATGAAACTTTCTAAAGAAGAGTCTAAAATATGGACCAAGTGATTTAGTGTTAATGATTTCAAAATGGCACCACTCAATTTTGAAATGTTTTAATCAGTTTTCACTTCACTGAAAGTACACAATCACACACAATGAAAGTACACACACTTCAGTGAAATTGCACAATCACATAACATGTTTGCTTTAAACATTTTATGCATTATGCATCATGCTTCTCAAATAATTTGAATATTAGCATGGACACTCTTCATCATATGTGCTATGACATTTGGGAAACACTCTTTTCCCTTCCACGATTTAAATGCTTACAGGTCTGCAATTACAATTCAGAATCCTTATTTTAGTAAGCAGGAGCTCATTTGAGTTGTTAGAAAGTTACATCTTAACAGAGAGCCCAGAATCATTAGCAAGAATCAACACTCAAAAACCCCAAATCAGTGATCACCTTTAATCTGCTCTACTTCTTTATCATCAATAATGTGACTGCTATTCTGTAATCTCTATAAAGCGAGTGTCTTACATAGGACCTAACCAATATACTAAGATTATCAGCACTGACAACTCAGTCTCAAACCCACCTCCGTATCTTGCTTAATGAATAACAAAGCAAAGCAAAGCAAAGCAAAGCAAAGCAAAGCAAAGCAAAGCAAAGCAAATATAAAACCTAACAAATCAATTCAAGTCTTCCTTTAAGGTACCCATCGCTTTTAAGGATATCCCTAGAGATTTCAACTGTGATGTTTAATTTGAATCATCCCCATTCCAAAAACCACTCATTCAGTCAGCCTCCTATCACTGGAAATGCCTTAGAACCCTTGTTATTGATCATTTTCTACCTCCACTGCCGTCCCAGGTTTGCCTCTTTCTTACCTACATGTCTCCAGGGTCCCAGTCCCTGACCAGTCCATTTTACTCTGCACCATCCCCACAGAATTATATCTCCTAAACCACCATTTGATCAAAGCTTTTAATGGATGGCTGTTTGCTCAATAAAATCTAAGCCACTGCTCTTTAGGCAGGTACGCAATGGACTTTGTCATCTCCCCACTTCCCTCCCCTCGCTTTAATTTCCACTTTTTTCATTACATTTATTCTATGTTCTAGTTACTTCTCAAATGTGCCACTAAGCTTTTTCCCACTATCTTTGCACTTCTTTTTTCCTTAATATTATTAGCTACTTGCTGAATGAAATGGTGAACTGTGATAAAGTTTTAAAGCAAAACATGTGCACAATATTAATGGAAAAGCTTATACTACTGACCTTTCCAGCATATTTTGCATTAAGTCCTGTCTTAGATACCAAAGCTACACTTTCATTGCACTTACCTGAGTTTCTTTATTATCCACTCATTGATTAAGAGTCGTAATAAAAAGAACATGGTGCCCTGAACAACCAAAGCCACGAACATGGCACCTAGTTTGTTCATCTCAAAGGTTTCACTTGGATATTCCACTCCATAGGCTTTTAAAAAGTCTAGGACGGACTGTTGCTGAGAAAGTTCAATCAATCCATAGCCAAAACAAAATTGTGGGAAAATCAGGAAAATGCGCTTGAGGGTTTCAGAAATAAGTTCTAAAGTCTGAAATGAGAAATAAAAGTGAAACTCAGCAGTAGAAAAATATTGACAAAAACTGAAAACTAGATGTAGACAAATATTGAAGGTTGAGCAGTTTATTTTTTTGGGAATTGCTTCATGGTTGAACTGAATTTACATCTAAACCTTTAATGTAATGATATGGCAGATATTTATTACTAGGAGACAAAGAGAAAAGGGTAATATTTTTCCTGAGGGGTGAGCCCAAACCTTGGAGGCAGAATCACACCTAGATCTGCCTCAAACTCTAGGAATGCAGGAGTAGTTGGCATCTGATAGGCTGATAACAGCATTGGCAGGTGCTTGAGTAGGGTGGTATTTAGTACAGTGGTTTCAGACACAAAGGTAATTCCCACTTGGAAAGGAACTGAAGTAGCGAGATGAAATGGAAGAAAAAACCATCTCAGTGCAGAGCAAATGGCTCATTTAGTGTTATTCACCAAACTAAGGTCAACCACTTGCACCTCATGAATTTTCTTTTTCCTCCTGGAGTGTGCTTCTCTGTTCCTCAGTTTTCTTCATTTCCTCTCTATTCTTTCATTCAATTGCCTGGTACTGTTAGTGCTTCTCTTCTCACTAATCATAATTGTTAGCTCTGAATGGAAAGTGATACTTACAATGAAGTAGCCTCCAATACATGATTGAAAGGGAAGGAATTAGGCTTTTTTTTCTCTATGAATGTTCACATGAATCTCGATCCACAGTTAATATGACTAAGTCATTGTTTTTATCACTAACATACTATAACAATTTGTTAATGACTAAAGGCTTAGCTGATTCATTGGTTATATGATTTTGGTATTGCCATATACAATATTGATTTTTTTCTCCATCATTCTATTCATGCCCTATCAAATATGGAGCTTAGGAAAACTTTTATGGCCTGTAGTTTTTCCTCTATTAAACTTAATAAAACTAAATGAAATTTCTCTCTTCTACTTGAAGAGTGCCAAATACAGAAAACCTTTTTACCTTGAACATTCTGATGTATTTGATACATTCACTGAAGTTTAGCAGAGTCATAATAAAGGACCTTACCGGGTCATTAGGCTTTTCCTTGGAAAGAAAGTATACCACCGACAGGGAAACAATGGAATTGATGCCAAAAAATAGGTTGATACAGACATAAGTGATAAAAGCCATTCCTGTTTCATGGAAGACTCCAGCTAGCAAGTACATCCAAGAAAATGTAGCATACCTGTATGTTAATAACATTAAGAATTAAAATTATTTCTTAATCAGTCTCCTTTATAAAACAAATAAAATTAAAAATTTAGATAGGGTTCCAAAGCAAGTATCTATATATAAATACACACACACACGCACACATACAAACACATATATATTTTTAAAGATCAACTACAAATTAATTCCTCTGAAAGAGTATTATTGTACCCAAAAAGGACTTTGTTTTTGTGTAGAAATATGAATTTAATCAATATAAATGTTATGATTTAAAATTGAGGGAAAATAATAACATTGTATAGCCTAATTAAGTAGCTACATCACACTTAAAAGCTGCTCATACTGTTTTTAGAAAATACTTGAGCAACCTTTTGGTTAATGTAAAAGAACTAGAGGCAGCGAGATCTTCCATCAGCCACAACTGCTAACTAAATGAATACTACCCACAGTCAGGGCAGAAAGCTATGTTAAGCATTAATTAACTTATATTACCTTAATAACAGAAATAACATTTTATGTATATTTAGACATCAATAAAAATATAATACGCATGAATAGATATACTATCTATGATATCTATTTATAATTTGTCAATTATAAATCCAAACATGCATATACATTTTCTGATGATTCCAAACCCCCAATATTATGTAAAATAAATCACATTTGTAATTACTAAATATGATACTTGACACCCAGTAAGTGCTCATTAATAATTGGTATTAATAACATTAATTTTCAGAAGTATAATACTTTGAAAACTGTGGACTACAAGTGTAAAGTATCGCTAGCCATGGCTCATGGCTAATGAAACACTGAGACAATTATAAATTAGATGAGATGTCAATCCTGAGTGGGTCAAAGAGCACTTAATTCTGTTCATTCTCTTACTGCAGCTTACCCAAACAGTAAAAGTAGGAGCGATACAGCGCCAAGGTTGTTTTCACTGTAGAAGGCAGGTAACTTGAAAATCGCAATGACACCAATTGAAAATGCTACAGGTACCAAGTAGAAGACCTGTGGGAATATGTAAAGCCATGTTGAATATATATATATATATAAAAGGCAGCTGTTTCTCAAAATAATCAATAGACCCTCTGGAACAGAGGGCTGAAGCCAAAGACTATTAAACGTCTGGAGGAGGTGCTTTTGAGGATGGGTAGCCCCAGGTGAAATAGGAGCCAAGTACTGGTGGCAGTGGAGACTCTCTCTGATAAGAAACCTAAGGAACTACAAGCAGCCCCCAGGATTCAGCATTTGGGATTTCAACATTTTGGATCTGCAGTCATTCTGGGGTCAGTCATTTCTGCTCCCACCCTACTGATCTTCTAGAAAGCTGTTGCTGGTTTCTAAAGGACATGGAGAAGCTTTCAGCAGCCAACCTCAGAGGCTTTGCAGGTAGCCGAGTGAATGAAACTGTTCCCAGTTTTGCTGCTGTTTCAGTCTGGCGGAGAGGCACCTTGCGGAGCCTGCGGATGTGGTCTGTTTGTTGGGTTGATGGGCTGCTGTAGCTGCTGTTGTGAGTGTGAGTGTTGACTGCTGGACGTTGTGCTGGCACATCTGGGGAGTTCCGGGAGCATCTCCTGTCCTGTCTTCTGCTGTGTTCGTGAGTTGGGTCCCAACCTCTAGTCTGGCTGGGATCTTAACACACTGGACACTGCAGCGGGTGAGGTAAATGGCCACTGTGGTCTCAGTGGCTCTTTGTGTTCCCTGGTTTGATAAGTAAAAAATCCCACTGTTGTTCCCTGAGCCTTAGTACTCTTGCACTGTGCATGGGTGAAGAAGTCAGACAGTGATTCGTAAACTATTTGGAGGGGTCCTTGACCAGATTTAGTGCTCTTTCTGTCCTATATTAAAAAAAACTATAAAAAGTTGATCTAGAAATATTTATGGGATGAGTTTTATTTATGTTCCTGCGTTGCTCATAACATTTAGCTCATTTTACATTCATTTCACTCTACAATTTGTCTCTTGCAATATGAGGTCAAGCCAGTCCCTGGGGCTCCTGCCTCCAAGTTTTGAGACCTGGTGACAGAAAGGCAGTAAGAAAGATAAGACAGCCAGGTATCTTAGTGTTAGGTTTGGTCCTCAAAGTACTGATTTCATTTTGAACACTGGCACTCTCAGACGGTTGATTTCTGTGACTTGGTTATTGGTGTGAGCCACTCTGCAAAAACAGCAGGGCAGCAGGTCTCCACATTCTTGGAATCATAAGTAAATGAACAAAGAGCATGGTGTTTCATTAGCAAGTAGAAGTATTAAACACAGGATATTGCTGCGAGATGCACACAGCGAAAGAGACAGTAATTCAATTTGGGAGGAAAAGCCTCCCGATTGGAGTGAGTGCCAGATATATAACAACAGAATCTAAGGCATAAGTAGCCCTTCATAGAAGTATGTTCTTTAAGCTTTCTTCACATTAAAGCTCCTATTAAGTCCAGAGGAGTTATCAGCATTCTTTTGGATTTGACTTCCACAACAAACACATTTCAGACCTCACTGAATACATTAACGCAATGGATATGCAGTTAATTACTCTCTGAGCCTTCAAGCCAATAATCTTTACAGCATCAAAGACAATTTTACCATAATCACCAGTCAAATACATACCCATCCTGGGCTTTTGGCCAATACTGGCACATTTGATGTCAAGAAAAACCATCTGAACTTTGGGACTGTTTTATGCAAATGAGGGAGCTAGCAATGAAAACTTAGCCTTTATTTTCCCTACTAATCTTCTCTAATGTGTCATTCAGTAGGGCCTGCTACTTCAAAATTTTCACTATTAGTAGATTAAGTTTTTATGAGCTTGACTATTTGGTACTGGGGAGCAAGGCTGTTGTGAAGCTTCATTTTCTCCACTGGGGTGATTCTCAGCCCTCAGTCAGTTTAATATAATTTGGGGGATTTTTAAAAAAATGCTCTACTCCTAAACTATGCATCTTACAGGTCTACATATGAACAAATGTCCTGGGGCTCTGGTACAGGAGGTACTCAGCCCACAGAACAAAGGTCTAGCAGGTAGAGAGCTCTTTCCTCCAGCAACTGGATGAATCTAAGCCTCATGCAAATCATTTTTCTTAATTATGTTTTATTTTGTGGTAATAATCTGAGCAGCCCCAGGTAAATAAATCTCAACTATAAAACTGATCTCTTTTATCCACATCAACCTTAGCTTTCTTGAAATGACACAAGTTACTCACCATGTCATAAATGAAGTTTGTCACCCAGTAGCATGTCACACCAATGCCTGAGATGTGCTGCAGCTGCTTGGCCTTGGTCTGATGCTCCCTTACGACATAGGTGACGAAGCTGGCTGTGGTGACAGAGTAGCCCATCAGGATGGAGAGTGCCACTAAAATATCGATTAAACTGCTCATTCTGTAGAGAGCAATTGGGAGAGAAAAGCACATATAAGTTTTTGAAACTTTTTCCTTTCAGAAAGATTCACGACCAAAAAGAACATGGGTTGGCTGTGACACAAATAAGTCTCCCAGCAAGGCACAGACCATATCTCCTGCATGACTCGGCTGTGACCCTAGAATCAATGTAGCGCTAGTGCAGCTGAACTGACTAGGTATATTTGATAGAAAAACCCCTGTTTCCATGGGTTACAGAGTGGATGCAAGGGATACAGAGTTCTTGAGCAAAGAAATAGAACTTAAATGCTATACAGGGAAGTTGAAGTGATGAAGCACTAATGCACTTGTAAAAGCAGCAGTTTCTATGAAGCTATAGTCAACAAGCTCTACTTGGCAACCCCACTGTACATTTTCAGAGACTTCCTGTTATCCCAGTCAGTGATTTCTATTACCAGCTCTTCTAGATTGACATTCACTCAGATACAACTGTGATTTCCAATTATAGCACTTTGTACAGTGGTTGTACTGCCAAAGAGAACGTAGTCATGCCAGAGAGCATTACTTACGTGGCTTGTTCTTGGTCTTGCACTCCAGGATAAGGATGACTATACATGATGATGCCTTAAAGAAGACCCAGTTTTTCTTATTAGTAGATAATCAGTTAATCAGAAACATCAGCTTTTAAATGAATGTACACCATACTTTTCCACCTTATGCAGTAATCTAAATATACTTTGGGAAAATAATTTTAAAGGAAAATGATTTCCCCCTCCTCCAACCTCAGTTCATAAAATTAGCAGCACTTACATAAAAAGAAAAATCTTTTTCATGTCATGTATGTATTTTGGGGTGAACAGGCAAGACTTTATATTTCTTATATAGCATTTCTGCCTCTCCTACATTTAAATAAGTCATTTTCTACTTTTTTCTATCTGGTGACATACACTTCTATTGGAACTGAATATTCCAACAAGCAGCTCAAAGGGAAACTGATTACCAGAGGATTTCCTAAACATCAGACACTATCCATCCTTCTTTATTGCACTATTGGCCAAGGTAGGCAAATAGTGCAGCCTACATGATCCCTCCTCTCCTTCAGAACCTCAAAGATGCCCATTGATCTAGAATTCTACCAAAGTAGGATTTGAGAGCTTGATCCACACCTAGTGGGATTTTCAGTGAATCATAAATATACAGGAGGATACAGAGATCTTAGCTGACTCCAGAAAATTAGCCATTTAATTCTAGTACAGTCCTATATTGTTGGTTATACTTTCTGAGACAAGAACAAGTTCCTTTTTTCCTTCTCCTCAGAGGACCTTGGCTTGCCAGTTAAGATGTCTGCCAGCAGTTTCCCAAAGGACCACAAAATAAAGGCAGTTTAAACTGAATAGCTTTGGAAAATTATGGTAGGGGAAGGAAGGAAGATATTCCTTAAATACTTGATCCCATAGAGTCATAAGTTGATTGAAAATGTTCTTACTTACTGCTCATATATATTCATAATGTTAATATATTAAGGACCTTTCCCAGCCCTCACAGATTATAAATTGTCCTAAAGTTATAATTCAATAACTTAAATTTATGATTTTTCAGCAGAATGACATATCTTGAAGTTGAAATATATGTTAAAGAAAATATATATATAGCTATAGCATAATAAAGAAACCAATAATGTCAATAACCATTTGAACTATAATTTTATCACACTGAGGGAATGCAATTTTAACATTTTTTTATTGTAAAATAATGGGTTCTCCTTTTATTAAGAATCAATTTTCCTTGGGAAACTTTGTTGCTGTAGTAAAATACTGGTGGGGGAAAATATGTCTTTTATCTCTCTATTTCAGAATAAAAAAATACTCCAATTTTACCTGAGGAATCTTTGCAAATGCACATTGCTGTGAAAAATGGTGATGAACCAATTGTTTATATATATATATATATATATATATATACACACACACACACATATAAGTGTATATGTGTGTGTGTGTGATCAAGTTAGTTTACTTGATCTTTGAACTAACTATGTATATGTCTATAGTTAGTTCAAAGATCAAGTAAATGTGTCAGGGTTGGGAATCTATATAAAAATCTTCTTTGTGGGTATTACAGAATCTAGCACAATGTCCTGAGTGCAGTGATTAGTCAAAGAATGTTCATTAAATCTAATCAAGTCTTAAAGTTTCAGTTATTTTCTGCACACACAATATATATTACCCATTAGATGTTTTCTATTGTCGCTACAGTTGTAAACCTATAACAAGCTTCTGATTGACCATTGCTACAAATGCAATGAAAGTAAGAGTAAACAGTAAGGTAGAGAGAGCAATATGTCAGTATTTTTGAGAAACACTCTAGTTGTGTAATGTTTGTTAGAGGAAACAAGCAAACCTGTGTTTGTTGTGAAGAAAGAAAAGGATTTTCATGTTAAATTAACCACTAGAGGGAACCACATGAATATAATAGATATTGACATTACAAAGGAAAGCTAATTAAAAGATTTTTATTTGCATGCTAGAATTTAAGGAAAATCAATTTTACAGCTTTAAAAAAAATCCCAATTCATGTAGAATCCAGAAAAAAGATGGCTTACAACAATCAGTACAGCAGGGAGATGTTGGAAGAAAAATAATAAAAAAATAGACTTGTTATAGCAACCTCACCATACGTGCATTTTAAAATAAATTTAGGATGACCTGGGCTTCTTCCTTGAAAAAAATCAAACTCTTTCCACAAGGAGAGTTATAAGACTCTATAGGTTTTATGAACCTATAGAAGGAAAGTTAGTAAAAACAGAAGGTTCACCCTACTAATGTATACTACTACTACTACTACTAACAACAAAAATAACCCAGGCAAAGAATTATTTTTAAATCTAAAAGGTAAATTTCCTTTTACGATTCATAATATAAAGTTTAGGTTTCAGAACGTTTAATTTTTTCAACTCTGTAGCTTAAAATTACAGTGATGGGAGATACAAACTTGCATGAGACCAGAATGATTCGGATTACTCTGGTCTAGGTAAAGAATGTTAACAATGAAGAAAGCCTGAACATAGATTTCAAAAACTGACCCTGGTATTAGTCTTTTGCTCTTACCTATAGATCTTTCCCACATCTCCCCCTTTTCATTTCATTAGTTTTTATATTTTAACTATCTGTCACAGCACTTTGGCTGTGAATAAGACATCCTGTTGAGAGTCAAGTGTGCAATAATATTTCAAACTAGGCTATACTAGACCCACCTGGCTTTAGTCACCAATTAATTTAATTTACCACATTGCTTGTGCCCTCTCTGATGCTCTCCATTGAAGGATTAGCTATCAATCTTGTTATTTCTTTTATGGTTTATCCTGCAATGAAAATGTCAAAGCAGCTGGGCACAAATATGTTTTTTTTCTGAAATGAAGGTTCTGAAAGAAAGTTTCTGTTGCTAGAGTGAGTATTTGACTCCACAGTTTACTTCTACAATCACTGGAGTACCCAGCACCTACTGTTTGTCAATAGTAGGAAGACGAAGGTATGTAGTCTCCCTTTTTCTATTTAGTAGGCTATTTGATATACTATTTATTAGGCTAGAAACTCAGTCTTGGCTAGCACATATGTTCTTCAGTCTTTCTCAATCTTATTATTGTATTCTTAAAATGAGTGTGGGAATATACTTTGAGTAAGTCTTAAGAATGAAACGGTCTGATGAGCAGTAATTGAATTAGAAAAAAAATCAATCCCTTGCAAATTCCTAACCTTATTTTAAAAGTATGTTAAAATCTCTTGAAAATCCAGTTGAAATAGACCTGACTGAGTTCAGAGAAGTATAAGAAAAATGAATTATGGAATATGGAGTATTAGAAAAATGAAGAGGCAGGTATCAGATAGACTCCCTACTGAAATTTGGGTTCAAATACTACCTCTGATTTCCAGAGAAATAACAGTAGGGGCAATAAGTCTAACCCTCAATAGGAGCTTGTAAGGATTCACTAAATTTCATAGAAAGCCTGTGTCATATTGTAAGTGCTCAACTGACAGTAACAATTTTGTTCAGTGTAAAACTTCCTAGATTAAAAGTTTTGTCTTCATGCTTAAATTTGTGAACAATACTTATTGGCACCAATTACTTTCTATTTTTCTACAAAAATACAGAGCTATAAAATATTTTCCTCTGGGATATAACCACTGAGAGTAGGAGTGGGTGTGAAGTCAACATTATTATTCTGATTTGATAAATGGGGAAACTAAATTAACCTGAAGAGTAGGGTATTACCAACAATGTTCCATTTGGCGGTAGTTACTACTTCCAAACTTCTTTTAAAGATCTGGGATTTAGGTATCATAAGATGCCTGCCACTGAGAGAAGTGGGGATGTAACTTGTGTTTTTATATGGAGAGTAGCAAAAGATGCAATAAAAGAAGCTTCTGGGTAAGTGACTTTACCGTGTCGGGCAGCATCATGTCTCGACATATTAACACGCAGGAGGAAATTATTGAGGCTGTTGAGATAAGCTGGAAGGGAGTGGTAGCCTTCTGGATCATACCACACCTGTTAATTTCAGAGAGAAACAAGGTCAGCTATGTTCAAATAAATAAGATCTTCACCCCAACAGCCTACAGAGCTCTTCTTTGTATTTAAAGAACAACAATTTCCCAATAATGTAGCTCATTGTGGAAGATGATGAACCATCTCCCAGAGTGTAGACTACAGACCTCTAAGTTCCTAACTTAGAAATAGGCAGAGAATGGGTGAGTAGGTTTTTCTGTGTGACAACACCAGGTTATTCATCATTTCATCTCTCTAAACAAAGCTTGAAATGAGCTGCAGAAATCATTATCATCTCCATCTCTGTAGGCTGGTCTACAGTTTTTCCAGTACTAGAACTCTGGCATCCTAGCTTTCAATAATGATAATAAAGACAAATAACACTGAGCGCAGGCTGTAGCGTGAAGTTAAATGTATATCTAAGTATTGTGTCTTTAGCAACAAGATTGATAACCTTGAAATTCCTCCACATTCTATTCCTAGTTAAACCCACAAGGAACTGAATTACTCTATCTTTTGTCAAAACAGAACAGTTTAAAATACTGGGGTATCTCAATTTCAGAAACCCAGTACACAATTCAAAATTAATTTCAAATTACAAATCCTGCTTCAGAAATTATTTCACATTGTAACGCCTTTGTTTATGTAGACAATGGAGAAAGGAAGGGGAGAAACAAAAGAATAATATTAAAATATTCAGCACTACTATTCTTTTAAAATTATTTATTTATTTACTTTTTGCAAAGAATAACTGGGATGTAGGCCAGAGGTACAGAATGGGTGAGAAGCTTCACTAGAGACAGAGTGGGGAGTAGAACAGGCAGATTGACAGAAATACACTGCTGAGGAGAATGGTGGGTGAGACAGGAGAGGTCTGCTGCTCTATGTGGGTCAGCTCCTTGGCTAGGGATTGAAGTGCTAAGACTTAACCACTAGGCCATCAAGGAGGCCCTCTACCACTACTATTTATTTACATATGATCTTACCAATAATCTTTGTTTCATAGGGGTGCTCTGAGGATGAAAATAGGAGGTTTGTGTAAAAGGTGATACTAGAACTTGGCTTAAACAGTCACTAAATGAATATTTAGTTTCTCTACTTTCCCAGAGCAAATATTCCTTTTACTACCAAAGTGAGAAACATATGAAAGACAGTTTAAAATTCCTGACTACTATTGATTATATGAGTAATCATACATGTGTAATACTGTTACTGTAGCTTATTTCAAAACAAAGACATGATTTAAAAGAAAAAATATACAACAGAATTATTTTTATGCATTAATTTCTGTTAAGCTTCCCTGTCCTTTATTTTCAGTTTATTCCTCCAAAGTAGCTTAAAATAAACTAAAGAAATAGGTATTGTATTCAGGCATAGCCATAAAGAAAAATGGCTGGAATATGAATATATAGTTTAGCAAAAAAATATAAAAGTTACATTATAATTATAAAATTATAAACATCACTCAGGTTGAGAAAATTTGCCAGCTCCCAGAATGTCTCTCTAACCCTCTGTGTTCTTACAAATCACAATATACACTCTCTCCCCTAAACAGTAAAATTGAGTTTTGCCTGCTCTCCAGTTTCATAAAGCAGTTAAGGTAGGTATTGCTTTTTGCCTTCTCTTTTGCTTATCAACAAGAATGGTGGGTGAGACAGAAGCTGCTGTTCCATGTGGGTCAGCTCCTTGGCTAGGGATTGAAGTGCTTGTTGAATAGAACTAATTCATTCATTTCCATTGCTGAAAGCTGTACTGGATGACTATATAACATTTTATTCATTTATCTACTGTATATGGGCATTTGGGGTTGTGCTCTTGGTCAATATGAGGAGGATTCATGTCCCTTGGGTAAATACACAGTGGAATCACAAGGGTATGGAGTCGACATTATGTCTGGTGACTTTTCAAGCAGATTGAGCCACGTTTTGTTTTTAACTTCATGAAAATGCTTAAACATTTTAAGTCTGCATTCTCATTTGTATGAGTTCCCAGAAAAAAGATTATAGTTTACCTTGGCAAGCGTTCTATTGGCAGGAACACCCGTTATATCAAAACGAAGGTCTTGAGTCAATGGCAGTCCAAAGCTCCAACCTCCATATCTATATAAATAACAAAATTCATATTTGTGTTAATGTAGAAAATATTCACAAATAGATCTAAAATGTTTAACTATGAGCTCCCATTTTATATTCTTTCCATTAGAAACAGTATGAATAAATACTACCTGACAAATAGTTCACAGTTTTATTGATATCTTTTATCAAACATTAGTCTACAATGTATATTATAACTGGAAGTAAAAAACAGTTGCAAATGTGGGTAATCATTCTGAAAATCAGTGATATAAATGCAATCAGTTCCTCCAACTTAACTGGATTTTGCATTATCTCAAAATATCTTAAGATTTTAGCTCTTAAATATCCTTTTGTGGATATAATAACGTGATATAATAATAGTTCTTATCTTTTTTTCTTTGTTCTCCTAATTCCCCCACCAGCTCCCTGGAACTGTATTTTTTTTCTCTTCCTTGATGTTTGAATATGAAGTTGCATCTGTGCAATTACCTGTCAGCTCATGGTCTCTTATAAAGAAGATTTTGAAAAACCCAGGCAGTAATTTTAAAAATAGATGAGTTTAAATGTCGAAAATTAGGGTTGTTTTAGATAAATAATGGTACACACTAGAATAATCTTGTGAATATCACCCCAAATGTGATGTGCAAAGAACACTGTAATATATTGCTCACATTTTTTAAAAAGTAGGTTTTAGCACAGTTTTTTTTTTATGGTAAGCTCCATTTTGGTAAAAATATAGGTTTATCAGACTAGAAAATTTGTGGAAAGATATACAATCAATAGTGGTTATACTTAGGAAGAGGTAATATTTTTTCTTTTGGGTTTTTTTTAAAAAATTGAAGTAGCAATGTATTTTAACATTATATACACTCAAATGTGCATCACTGAAAAGCAACATTTGCATAGATTCCATTAACTTTACCATGAAAAATCGAACTCTATCCTTCACCAGTTTCTAATTATTTTACAATGAATGTTAATCATTTCTATACATTCAGAAATGAAGGGGGTGGGGGGAAGATGAAGGATAGGAGAAAACAGATTTTGCCAGGCTAGCAACTCTTCTCCCCAAACTACTTAGTTATAACTGACAAATAAACATTTTATATATTAAAAGTTACACAAGTTGATGTTTTGATATACGTAGATGCGGTGAAGTAATCACAACAATCAAGCTAATTAACATATCCATCACTCACATAATTACCGTTTTCTTGGTGTGTATGTAAGGCCCAGAACTCTATCTCTGAGTAATTGTGTCTTCTAGGTGCATCCATGTTGCCAAATGCAAGTCGACAATTGGCAAAAGATTAGGTGGATTAGGTCCCTCACCTTGCTACACGTCCAGGATGGTGCTACTCCTGGACACATTTCAAGCTTATTTAATACATTAAGCTTTAAGATATTCATATTGGAACTCGGGATAATGATCACCAAAGGCTTGCTTTAAAAAAACTCTCTGAGGGCTTTGCCTGGTGGCACAGCAGGTTAAAGCACAGCACTGCAAGCTAGTGGCAGCAGCTTCATTGCTGGTTCGATCCCCCGCCTCCGGAGGTGACCCACATGGCGTGGCAGACCTCTCCTGTTTTGCCTGCTGCTCCCCTTAGCAGTGTACTTTGTCCATCTGCCTGTTCTGCTCCACACTCTGTTTCTGCTGAATCCTCTCACTGCCCCTGCACCTCTGGCCTGTATCCCAGTTCTGTATGCAAAAATAAATAAAATCTTAAAAAACAAAACTCTGAATTGGTATAACCCAGTCAATTCTTCTCTTTTTCCTAAAAAAAGTACAACTTTCAATGTTCTCAAGTGAATCTTAGAGTCAGTTAAAATTTAATGCATAAGGCTGTTTAGATAAACAGAGAATTTACCCATGTAAACAATCAAAAGGTATTTGCTCCTGTTGTCTCAGGATCAGAAGGTGGTTACTATTAAAATTAGAAAGTAAGAAGAGCTAAATTAAATGTTGCAAAGACTATTTTTACCTTTTTTGTGTAAACTCATTAGCAGTTGTTATAAGGTAATTTTCCAAGCGGTGCCCAGTGAGGTTGTAAATTACTTGTGAAGAATAAGTTCTTCTATGTGGCGGAGAATAGTTAAATTTAGGACATTCCTGAAAAATAAAGTTAAAAGTTCTTTTGAACTACTACTGTGCAAATCAACTAGTTAATATCTAGGAGATTGTGTCACAATTTGTCTTTATTGCAACTGGTAGAATATGATAAATAGTTTTCTGACACTAAGAAACTTTGAAGAGGAAATCACCTTACTTATCCCGAGAAATAAGAGTATATAGCTATGATTTTTATAGAACACATACATGTATTTAGAACTTGAAACCAAATAAGAATACAAATTAATTAATGTGCTGTATTTACTTCACTATATTGACAGACTTAATAGACTTAATATACAAGGAGAATAACATTAAATACTAAGATAGGAATCAAAATTCTCTCAATAACTCACAGAAGGACAAAAAATTACTCCAGATTGAAACCATCATCAGGCATATATTCTCAGAGATTGACAGTAGTAGAAAAAATGTTCATGTTATATTAGGTTTATGGTACCAAGCCAATATAAATTTTATATAAAGTTAAACTTAAAGCTAATTTAATTTTATATTTTTATATGTTTAAAATTATTCCCAAATAAGCCATATATATATATATATATATATATATATATATATATAATTTTATATGTAATCCATATCCCCAAATACATATAAAAATTTATGTCTAAACTTTTTGGGGGGAATAATTTTCAAATTACAGACAAGTTGCAAACAGTAGCATCTTCCTGTATGCCCCTCACTCAGTTTCTTCCATTCTATCATCTTACGTTATCTTAATACATTCCATCAGAATTTAAAAACATGGGTACATTACATTAGCCAATCTCAGAGGTTGGTTTTAACCACTTGTTTTTATGTCTGTAGCTTTCTGTACTTTCTGACTACTTTCAGTATAAATTCTCACATTTTACCATGAAGTTACTTGTATCCAGACCCTGGTACCCCAGAATCCCCCTCATAATGCTTCCTTCCACATTTAAAGTCACTGGTACAGGATGGTTTTGCCTGTTTTGTACTTTACATATAGGGAATCATGTCATATATACTGGCTTGTACTTGACTTTTTTCATTCATCATTTGTGAAAATCTCCCATAAGATGTATGCAAGTGGGGCCCTCCCTGGTGGCGCAGCGGGTTAAATCACAGCACTGAGAAGCTAAAGCCACTTCCGCATGAGTTTGGTCCCCACCTGCCCGGAGGTGACCACATGGCATGGCAGACCTCTCCTGACCTGCCCACTGCTCCCCTCAGAAGTGTACTCGATCTGCTTGTTCTGCTCCCCACTGTGTTTCTGGTGAAGCCTCTCACCCCCCTGCACCTCTAGCCTGTACTCTAGTTCTGTTTGCATAAATAAATAAATATTAAAAAAAAGGACTTATGTAAGTTTAGAATTCTGTATGTAAGTGCTAGATCCTACTATGAATCTGGTCACATCTGATTTATCAAGGAATTGGTGGGAATTTGGCTGACTATTATAAATAGTGTTGCTATGAATATCCCCTTGTGTCTCTTGGTGAAATAGTTCAAATTTCTGATGGACATATGATAGGAATGAAACTGTTGATCCTGTAGGTTGTGTATGAATTCATTACTAGTAGATAACATCAAATTATTTTAAAAGATATTCACACCAACTTAAGATTTCCATCATCAGAATGAGGTTGCAAAATGGTAAATCTACCGGATTTTTAAAAATAAAAATTATTGGCCCTCCCTGGTGATGCAGCGGGTTAAAGCACAGCACTAAGAAGCTAAAGCCACTTCCACATTAGTTCGATCCCTGACTGCCCCGGAGGTGACCACATGGCACGGCAGACCTCTCGTGACCCGCCCGCTGCTCCCCTCAGCAGTGTACTTCATCAGTCGGCCTATTCTGCTCCCCACTTTGTCTCTGGTGGATCCTTTCACCCCCCCGTGCATCTCTGTCCTGTACCCCAGTTCTGTATGCACAAATAAATAAATCTTTAAATAAATAAATAAAAATTATCTAGATCTTAAACAGTAAGTTAATTGACTTATACTGAACTAAGAAAATAAATGAAGAATTTCAGAAATTAGACTAGTGAGAAGGGTTAGAAAACTCTTTCAATGCTAGGGAAGACTCAGACTTAACTAGACAAGAATCCTCAAAGTTGTTGGTTCGACTCCAGTCCTTATTGTTAGAAATTGTCTGCATGAAATCACAAAAATAGGTTGCATTTACTGAAGACATTTCTCTCTAAAATATTGTACAACTATATGGCACTTCAAAGAAAATATTGCTAGTTACTTCCCTGTGGGGGAGTAAGCTGGCAACACATTGACCCTCAGAAACTAGTAGTGATCACCTGTTGGTTCAACAATATTTAATTCCCCCAGGGAATATGATTTTCTAAATGCTGTTGAATTGATCGACCTATAGAGTATATAGGGAAAGTAAGTGTTGAATGATCTTTTTCATTTCTTTCAAGACATGTATTTCTCCTGCAGCCTGGAGGTGTTGCTTAGAGAATATGGAACCCTCCTCTGGACTTGCATGCCACTGACTTCCAAACAGACTACCATACTGGCTCTCACTGTGTTTTTAAATATGACACCTTCAGTGGCATTTTGTTGTGCAAAACATAGATCTCTCTGGTTAGAACTGAACTGGGACCAAAAATTCTTCTTCAGCTGGTTTACACAAAGACCATCATAGAATTCTCTGCCTTTGGAAATTTGTTCTGAGATGGATTTGAAACAGTGACCTGAAGTCAAAGCCTACATATATATGGCGATATATGTATCACTTTATTTATTTCCTTTTGGGAGCTGTCCCGGTCCACATCACTGTGCTCCTAGCTTTGCCAAAATGAAATTACATAGATTCTTTGGTACCCCAGACAGATCCTTTGAGTTTTGATATTTATTCCTCCATTTTCCCTATTTCACTGAAACTGAATTCTATCTTACCTGGATATTTTCTGAGCAAGAACAAACACCAAAATTAGTGATAGGTTCTCCACTTGTGTTCCAGTTTCCCAGACTGTTTTTCTTTAAACATCTTCTGCAAGTAAAAATTATAGTGAAGTGAGGTGTGTGTGTGTGTTAACATATTTATGTATGAACATATAAGTATTTGGTATTAAATCCAGATGTTCTAGGTATAAGTTACTGATTTTTGATCACTTGCATATACATTGTACTACCCTTTCACTTGACATTTGATATTTTATGGGGGTTGCAAGACACAACTTACTGATTAAACAGCACTGAAAACAAAGTTCACCGAATTTGAGTGGTATTTTTTTTACCCCTTTCTTCTCTTTGGTGTTTTCATCCTCCCTTCCAACAGGAAGGGAATAATGCACCAATGTCAAAGTCACAGTTAAACATTATCTTGGGAGTTTGAATAAACAACACCGGGAAACTGGAGTCAGAAACCCTGGGTCTCCACTTGAGCTACATAATATACTGTCTAATTTCTTGAAAAAGTATCTGTTCATATGAAGCTTGGTTTCTTCAACTTAAAAATGGGATTAATAATTCACAGGGCTGTTGTGATTGTTAAATGAAAGCATTACACAAAAGAAATTCACAACCTAAAAAATGCCTGATGTCTATTATGACAGTATAATGAAACATAAAAATAATAAAAAAAGAGTTCAAATTTGTTAAACACAGGTTTCTATCAGGCGCTGCCCTTCTTTAGCCAAATAGCACACACTCATTCATCTGCACACACCACACACACACACACACACAAATACATAACCACTTACGGATCACTGATATTCAAACACATGTTGTCAATTCCAGGGAAGGACCACATAGCTGAGACCAGTGCTTTTGTGGCTGGGTGATAATTCCTATAATTTAAAGGATAGAAGTCAATGAATGATTCTTTCACTAGTCTCCCATATTGAACTCAGGCTCATAAATGAGTTGAAGGAATAAAACAGGCTATCATTAAGACTGTTTTGTAAAAATCTAGGAAACATTCATTCAGTCTCAGAAAAAAAAAATGTGGCTAGGCAAAAATCTGACACATCTCTGGTTGCCTATCTCATTACTCCTTATTGTTACATTATTAATTGATCACCGTGTATAATGTGTCTAAATTATACAGAATGCTGACATTACTATTCAATATTTGTGAGACCAAAAATGTTACTGGCTAGCTATTATAA